CGGCCACGCCGAGGCTAATCACCATCATGCCAAAATCTTAAAATCAGCTAGAAAGAGTTTTCAACACCGATTTTGGATTTTTACTGTATTTTTGGGTACACAACGAGTATTTTGATTTTCGCATAAAAAATTCAAAAAATCCGGAGCCCGTCAGGATGCGTAGTGGGTAGCACCGTGTGTTGAAACACCGATCCGGGTAAAGATCCCTCACTCTATTCTCTGTTACGGTAAATTGAGGATTACTAATTGATAATTATTTGTTTTATGAAAAATTAAAAAAATCCTAAAAATATTATAAGTCACTAGTGGAGTTGAAACCGGTTAGTTCACATTTGTCCTACTTTCCCTGTTTATTTTTTTGTACTGTCTAAATTTCTTACTATTATATTGTGCATGTTTAAATTGATAGTTTTTATAGTCTTTTCGATTATCTGGTTTATTTGGTTCTTCCTGCATTGTTTATTTGGTTATTTAGTTATTCGGTTATTGGTTATGATAAACTATATTGCTTGCTTAAGTGCCATTTAAATTGATAATTAAAAATGAAATGAGATCTTAGTATGTTTTGGTGGTTGTTTGGATGATGAGAATCTTAATAAATGAAAGTTTACTGGGCATCATAAGAAAAAGTGGACGGACTTAGTACATAAAGAACCTTACCGTGGACGTTATCTCAATCAAACGGGGCTGAGAAGTCTTATACTGTAAGAATTTTGGGAGATATAGTTCACCCTCATACCAGACGAGATATCAAGGTGATGATATTTTTAGCACTAATTACCGGACGAGATATGAAAACGGCCGGGTTAATTGTCAAATCTTGATACTGGGTCCACGAGTAGATGGATATCCATATGGATCCCAAGGAGTCCCCGTAAGTAAGTAAAAAAAAAAGAATTACTGATCTTATGTACGAAATTAAAATATTACTTGACTATTTGTCTTTATAGGTTATCTTTGAAAAAACTTGTAATGGTAAGTATAGAATAAAACGTTTTAAAGTTAAAAGTATTTACTTAAATCAATAGCTCAGTTAGTTGTTTTGTGATTTTTACCAATATTCGATTTTCATATCAGTGATTAGTATGATATTCTTATTGGGGTAGTGTAACTCACAATTTTATTAATTATTTTAGATAAAAAAAATAAATATCCAGATCTCTATCAATAAGAGAGTTGTGAGTAATTCAACTCATGGACTCCCTTCAAGTGTTAAGGAAGGTTAACCTATAGGATATTTATTTATCTGTTTTTAATTACCGTTTGTCTTTTAATGAATAAGTGTAGAATGGACATTCCCGTAATCTTTTTGGACATTCCAATTTACTGTGTAAGGAATGTAAACCCTAATTTTATTATTTGCTTATGCATTTATAAATACAATTTTTTTAAAAAAGATTTTGAACCTTCACATAAAGTCTTAAATGTCATAGTAAAAATGATGCATTCGGCTTATTTGGCCTCGACAAGTATAAAAAAAAATCGAGATGTAATATATAATATATTTGAGGATTAAATTTTTTTTTTTCTAAAATAGTTTAGACTAATTTATATTAAATTTTTTATCATATTAACTATCACATGACATTTAATATACAAAAATAACTAATTAAATTATATTATGTGTTAAAATAAATAAAACGTGATGTTAACAACATTAGTAAATATTAACAAAATATAGACTACTTGAATATTTTTAAAAATATAGAAAAATAAGATTAATATTAAAATGTAACAAAAAAAAATAGTAATGTGATCAAAATAATATTTTAGCAGATAAAAAAGAGTTTTTTCATAAAAAATTATTCACTACTATTACAGAAATAAATATAAAACTCTTTACCGGTTACCGGTTCTAAGAAATAATAATTTAGTGGAGCGGGAATCATATTGACCAACCCGCACTTGACGATCCCGATAATTGTTCCTTCCGAAACCACAAAACCCTAAAACTTATATCTTCATCTCCGCCGACTACAGCAACACTTTACAGGGCCCATCATCTTCTTCGAAAACCAGAAAGCTTAAGCTTCCCCTTTCACTTCGGTCATCAGCTTCCAGCGTCGCGCGCCACAATAGTCTCTCGTCAACCGCGCGTTTCATCCTTTCTTCCACGCTCACGCCTTCGGGGTTCTCTCATTCTCATCACCGGCGTCTCTTTCTCCTCTCCCCTTCATAATAGCGGATCTGTTCTCCTTTCCTCCCTCTGTTGGAGCTGAAAGCTTCCGGAACCCGACCGCAACCTCAAATCGATACTCTTCAACTCACCGGGGCCAGGTGCCCAGTAATAAAGATTTCAGGACTTCCTCAGGCAGGTAACCTTTTCAGCCTCTTGAATCTAGTGGTTTGTTAGTTGAATTTTTTATCGGCTTGGTTTTCTTGTGAATTTTTCTGTTTATTCTCCTAAAGTTTTATTTCATAGAATATGTTTGATAGCATGTGACCGAATCTGATGACTGCCTTGCTTTTGATTTTTAATTTATTTCAAACTTGTAACTTTTTTTAATTGGAATGAACGTGGATATACTAGATAGAAGCTGTAGTTGACACTGCGTACAGATTGAAAGAGATTTCTGTTCAAGTGTTAATTTGGCACGTGTTTGTTTGTTCTCCAGTGGCATGTGATGAGGATGTATGATAGACAAAAAACAGATTCACTAGTTGATATAGCCGATCTATATCAGTTGGTGTGAATAAAACTTGGATATATCAGATGATGATTTAATGAGTAAAAAGAATATTGGAGGTAACAGTTGCTTGCCATATAAAAAATTAGGAATGGCTAGGTTTGTTCACTTAGCTTTAAGTTGGGTCTCTTTTTTGCTTTTGGATGAGAGAGTTTTTTGTTCATCACTTATAGGAATTATATACTTGAGGAGAAAATATATTCACGAATCAAAAATAGAAGTTTCTTATTTTTTGGTCTCAGAGTTATTTAGTTCAGTTGTCACCTTGATTGGTTGAATAACTCCTAACTAGGGATTTGTAGGAGTTAATATAGCTATTCATCTGTTTGCTGCTTGGCAACTTTTATATATTTATTCTGCTTATCTGTAAATTTCTTATTTTAATTTTATGTAGATATGGAAGAAGTGGAGAAAAATAAAGAGGAAGGAGAGGAAGAGAGACCAATCTTTAGAGACATAAGGCGGTATTATTGCGAGTACTGTGGAATTTGCAGATCCAAGAAATCCCTCATTACCTCTCATATCATCAAGGAGCACCAGGTTTCAATCTTGTTTTTATGGTTAGCAGTTTTGTCCATATTTGCAGTTAGCTTCCTACTGGAGGATTAGGTAAATGAAATTTATTTATTCTGCTCTTTTCAGGAGGAGATGACCCAGGAAGGAGCTGTTGGAGGTGCAGAAGTCGAAGAAGTGCACTCAAATACTTGCCAGGAATGTGGTGCCAGTTTCAGAAAAGCGGCATATTTGAACAAACACATGCAAAGCCATTCGGTTGAGGTACTCACCCTTGGTTTTCTGTTATCCTGCCCATACTGCAGGATAGTTTAGTACAATCACGTTGGTCACATACACTGGAATTTTCTAGTTTCTTCTGTCCTTGTGTGTGTGACTTGTAGATTATATACTCGAAAGATAAAATATCTGTTGTCCGGTTGTATTTATTAGTGGTTTGTTCTCACATGGGCTATTTTTCCTCTTCAAATATTTTCACACATCATTTCTTTTGACTTTCTGTAGAAACAATGTTAGTGAGTCTAATAAATATTTGTGTTTTGGATTTCAAAAGCATCAATATATAAAGCAAAACTTAAGAATTTATGTTTATGCCCATGGTGGCATATCGTTTCAGTAATTCTTCTCTTTTGTCTTGTTTATGCACTTGAAGATGTATTTTTGCAGGAATAGAAAATGATAAGCCTTTGGATGTTATAGTGTGAAGCATTGGATCCCATATAAAAGAACTCCAAAATGCGAGGCTGCATGAAATGGACCAGTATCAGGTTGGGAGACCTCCTGAGAAGCTCCATCAAGTAAGCCTCAGTCACGCAGTGTTCCAATTTGAGGTCTGAACGTTTGCTAAGAAGTATCTTATCACTGTGGAAATTTTAAATCCGTGAGTGTGTGTTGGTGACAAAGACTACTTTAATGTTGTTATCTTTTTGCAGAGGCCGTTTATTTGTTCTGTGGATGATTGTTCTGCCAGCTATAGAAGAAAAGACCATTTGACACGCCACATCCTTCAGCACCAAGGAAAACTATTCAAATGTCCAGTTGAAAATTGCAATCTTGAATTTGTTTTTCCGAGTAATATTAAACGACACACGGAAAAATTTCACAATGATGCTGATAATGAATCACCTGCCTCCAGTGTTGGGGGTCAGAAACAGCACGTTTGCCAAGAAGTTGGGTGTGGGAAGGTGTTCAAATTTGCATCACAGTTGCAAAAGCATGCAGATTCTCATGGTAAAGTGGTTTTCTTCTTCATGCTTTTAAGATTTTTTTTATCTTGTATCCTGTGCCTCAAATGGATAAACCAAGTTGGAATGTGAATAATGCTATTGCTAATTCGAGTTCTTGGGATTTGTCTTTTACTAATTTTTTGAGTGCTTATATTTGCAGTTAAGCCAGACTCTATAGAGGCATTCTGTGCTGAACCAGGTTGCATGAAGTATTTCACAAACGAACAATGTCTTAGGGCCCACGTACAGACCTGCCACCAAAAGATTGATTGTGAGATTTGCGGTTCCAAGCAGCTGCGAAAGAACATGAAGCGGCACCTTCGGACCCATGACGGAGGAGAAAGTTCATCAACGAGAATAAAATGTGATTTTGAGGGCTGTCACCAAACGTTTTCAACTGTAAGTTGCTGCAATTTATAGTTATTAAAAAACTTATTTAACAAAATATCTTTTGCTGATCTTTGCTGCTAACTTCTTTTGCAGAAATCTAACCTCTCTCAGCATGTGAAAGCTGTGCATCTTGAGCTCAAACCGTTTATCTGTAGCTTTTCGGATTGTGGCATGCAATTTGCATACAAACATGTGAGAGATAATCATGAGAAGACAGGGTGCCACCTCTATACTTGTGTAAGTGCTTGCACTGACAATTGTTGACCACACTTGTCAGGTTCATCATTCATTCTATCAGTATAACTGTCTCTACCCTTAGATGTGTATGTTTCAATTTTATGGTACCTTCAAGCTGCCATACTTCTGCATCTAAGCTGTCGGAGAAGTATCTTAATACTTTTCTGGTAGATCCAATATCTGAAATGGAAAAATAGTGCAATAAAAAAAGCCTTCATATTGAACATGGCAAGGGAAACAAATAGTTCATATCGTTGGAACTGTGTTTTCAGGGAGACTTTGTGGAGTCTGATGTGCAATTCCGGTCAACGCCTAGGGGTGGACGGAAGAGAGAACCAATTACGGTTGACATGCTAATACGGAAGAGGGTCATGCTGCCTCAATTGGATCCTAGAATGGAACAGTGTGATGAGCAGTAGTGTTGGTTGGTTTGTCTGAAGACCAGGGCTCAAGCAGTGTTTTATATAAAGCAAATATATTAGATATTTGTAAATTGGTGGGATTTACACTTTATAACCTTCTCTTGGGAGGCTTCTGTATGCATGTGTGTTTGTTTTTGCTGGGTTCTAGGGCAAGTTTGTATGTAATGGGTTTGCACTCCGTTAATATGATTATATTTTATATAATCCTAGTTAGTTGTTCTTGTTGAATTCTGAAAAACTATTTTATAATGCTTTTTTAACACATCTGAACAATTTAGTCCAATGATTAAGAAAATACAAGTTTTTGGGCTATGGACTCAAAGTTCAAGTCCGATTATTTTGAAAAGGAAATTGTTTACTGACATTTAAAAAACTGAACATTACGAAGTTGCTCGGGGTTCTGATGTTTGTTTGTACCTGATCAAAAATCTTGGAACTTTCAGGCGAATGAGCCGGCATAATTGATCAATTTTATTCCGGGAGACGTTTTAATGAACTATTTTGGAAGTGTTATTTCTTAATTATCTCATTAATCCAAATGTGGTAAGAGGAATGTCTTGATGCGGAGTCGTTTTCATAAAAAATAATTAACATTAGTTTTCGTGGTTATAAAATCACATTGCCGTTTGTTGGGATTCAACATTTTCTCCCTGGCCGAACAAACCACAGCCCTACAAACACTTAAAACCCACTGTTGCCCTATTATTTGACCCCGGGGAAAGCCCAAGGAGCCCAGAAAATGTCTTCCACAGTATCTTCATCTTCGACTCTGTTCGCCAACTCACTGCTCTCCTCTGACTCAACCCCAACTCGGTCACTGCGCTCCCTTACCCTCGCTCCACTCTCATGGGTATCTTCGTTTCCAACTCTCAAAATCTCCCTAACCTCTGTCGTAAACCCGCCCAATCCTATCCTTCACAAGGTTTGTACTTACTTCGCCTCGCTCGCGAAGAAACCTTTTCCTGATTTTCTTTGAATAAGATAACTCAGCTTAATTGGAATTTGAAGTTTGTTTTTTCTTCGTTATCTCTCTGACTATCTTCCTCTCTAAGTAGGTTACGTTCCATGATGTTTTAAAAGGGAAAACTCGACTTGATTGGAAATCGAGTTTTGTTTTTCTTCATTTTTCTTCGCTTTATCTTTCTCTTTGAATGGATTCATATTGCACACTCTTTAGTTTCATAGAAGAGGAAAACTGAGCTTCGTTTCAAAGTTTCTGGTTTCTTTCTTTACTCGCGTGCCCCAGGGGATAGGAAAAAAAAGGTTAGCAGATTTTGATTATGAATATGATCTCTGATTTTCTCAGTTGAAGGTCAATTGTTTACTGTTTGTTTTTATATTTAGTTTCACAGTACTTCTGCGGATTCGTTGTGTTTATATTACATTACGTTTGGAGTCAGAAATATTCATAAAATCCAAACAGGAACACGTGAAAGTGGATTTATGAGAAAGGTTTTCTTGGTGAAGCCCTAGTATAGAGACACAACTTGAGGGAGTTTAAGGGAAAGAGAATTAACCTCCCGTGAGATTTACATTAGGGCTGGGTTTGGACAAATTAAAAACTTTTGTGGAACTTATTTGAAGATTCACAACCTAATTGGAATAATACATGTTAGACCCATCAAATTTGATGACATTTAGAATGTAGTGGTTAATTTCATTTGGAATTCCTGGTGAAATCATTTTTTTTATATATATTTTAATAGAATGATCATCCATGCTAGATGAAGTAAGTACAAAATTTCTGAATATATTTTACAAAAATGCATGATTTGTTTCGATCTTAGCTTAAGCTTTTTCATGCTATACATAGTTTCTTTGTGAATGTTTTTATTTTATTCACTGGTGGGATCAACATTGAACCTTCATAAGGTCTTGGTTGAGAGTAGAAAAACTGAATCTCTAGTTTTACATCCATAGAAAAGCAATTAAATTTGAGATAGGATTACTGTCCTCTTAAAATGTTGAGGGATCAGATGGGTGGCAAATATCATAATGCGTCTTATTATTTTTAGTGTGGGCAGTTCGTAAATGTTTACCAATGACCTTAATTTTCAAAACTTGTGTCAAAAAAGGTAGGCTTCTAGACAACTTATATAAATTTTCTTTCTTTTTTTCCTTGGTGAGGTTAGTAGTCAGTGAGAGTATGGCATTTCATCCAATTTTGCATCAGCACTGATTTTTTACTTTTTAA